GCCAAATACCTGTCTAGCCAGCTTAGAAGAAATTGATTTATTTTCTGGACAGTTCATAGATCTCTCACAAGCTCACTGTGTTTCTAAGCCAGGTCTTTACCACCCTAAGGAAAATATTAGTGTTGAATAACAGGCACGCGAAGGGGAATCTCATGAAAAACCTGAACCAGAAAACCGCAATTTGTCATGTGCTGAACATGCAACCCATTGCACAACTTGACTTTGTTCCAAGGGTGCAACAGAGAGTTGGGATGGTAGTATACACCAGTCTTGACTACACAAGATGGGTAGGATTCCAGCCATGGTTAGAGGCCTGTCTAGCTCTCTATTGTCCCCTCCGACTGGCAGCTCCCCCCCCCGTCCCATCACTGGCTGGCTTACCCTTTGGAGGTGCTGGCTCTGCTTGTAGGAAGCCTAGTGGAGGAACCGTACCCCCAACTGTTGATTCCGCAGCCAGAGATCTGAACCCTTGAGCTATCCGGCCATCCTCGCCATACCTGGCCTATGTAAAAGTGCATGCTTCCTCGTTTTTTCCTCCCGTCCCTGTTGTTCTTGTTTTGTCATTTAGTCGTGTCTGACTCTTCATGACCTGGCCATCCTCACCATACTTGGCCTATGTAAAAGTGCTTGCTTCCTCATTTTTTCCTCCTGTCCCTGTTGTTCTTCTTTAGTCGTTAAGTCGTGTCCAACTCTTCGTGACCCCATGGACCAGAGCACACCAGGCCCTCCTGTCTTCCACTGCCTCCCAGAGTTGGGTCAGATTCATGTCCGTAGATGACACTGTCCAGCCATCTCATCCTCTGTTGTCCCCTTCTCCTCTTGCCTTCGCTCTTTCCCAACATCAGGGTCTTTTCCAAGGAGTCTTCTCTTCTCATGAGATGGCCAAAGGATTGGAGCCTCAGCTTCAGGGTCTGTCCTTCCAGTGAGCACTCAGGGTTGATTTCCTTTAGAATGGATAGGTTTGATCTCCTTGCAGTCCAGGGGACTCTCAAGAGCCTCCTCCAGCACCACAATTCAAAAGCATCAATTCTTCGGCGATCAGCCTTCCTTAATGGTCCAGCTCTCACTTCCATACATCGCTACTGGAAAAACCAATAGCTTTGATGATGCGGATCTTTGTCGGCAAGGTGATGTCTCTGCTTTTTAAGATGCTGTCTAGGCTTGTCATTGCTTTCCTCCCGTGAAGCAGGCATCTTTTAATTTCGTGGCTGCTGTCCCCATCTGCAGTGATCATGGAGCCCAGGAAAATAAAATCTGTCACTGCCTCCATATCCCTGTTTGCCTATGCCTCCCGTCCCTGTTAGAAGTGTGTTAGTCACCCCCTGTGTAAGAGAGAGAGAGAATACTGTAAGTCAAGGGGTGTAAGAAAAGAGTGGGTATTCCTTCTTGATGGTGGGAGGAATAGCCACGAGGGGGCAGTGTGAGATCACAGCTAGGAACCCCCGTAGTGTCCGGGCTGAGAGCCCTGTGTGGAAATTAGTATTGATGCTGCGCAGGTGAATCTCAGATGAAAGGTAGTGACAGAGTGGGAGGAAAGCTTTCCGCCTGCAGGCTTTAGGCGAGCGGCGGTATGTCTTGGCTTGCTCTTTTATTGATTCATGGAGGTAGAAGAACAGCATCTCTTCTGCTTTAGAGAGATTTGTCCCTTGTCTTTTCTTGCTGGCTTCTGGGGACTTCTTCCAAAACAAGGCCTTGTTTCTACAGCGCTTTCTAGAGATTAACCAGGCCAAGAGCGAGAGGCAGCCATTTGGAAGTCCCTTTTTAAAAATCGCTGCACCAATAGTCTCTCTCTCCCCCCTCTCGCTCCCGGTCCCTAGTCCCCTGCCGTCGTTTGATTTTACTTTGTGCCACTTTCTGCATCCAGAGCCTAGGAAAGGTGGCGGGCGAGAAAAGAAGGCTCGCCAGGGAAAGCGACATTAAGTGATGATGGTTTTTCTTCACTTTGTACCTGGGCTGCTTGTAGGGGAGGTTGCGGCTGTCGTTTAAAGGAAGACTGCAGAGGTACCTTATTTTAAAAGAAGAACTTTATTGCCCGTCTGTAAAAGAAAGGATGAGACTGGGATGGTGGATGCGTTCCTGTCTGGTTTGGCACAGATTCACTAAGTGGTGTGATCCAGTCGGTGCTTGAAAAGTCCTTAACTTCTGTGCAATCTGTTTAAATCCTGGCACCTGTCTGCGGAAGATAGGAGGGCATGGCGTGCTCTGGTCCATGAGGTCACAAAGAGTCGGACACGACTAAACCACAATCTGTTTGCAAAGGCAGAACAAAGAGTTGTTTTGCATTTCAAGGAATTGTACCAAATAGATTGCTGCCCTAGCCTTGTCCTGTTTGCAAAGGCAGAACAAAGACCTGTTTTGCATTTCAAGGAATTGTGCCAAATAGATTGCTGCCCTAGCCTTGTCCTCAGAAAGATGCAGGCCGACTCTTAAAGGGGAGGGATGGATCATTTTACATAAAAATGCCAGCCAATGAGGTTTTTTCCTGTCTCCAGCAGTGCTCTCGGGGAACTGTACAATACACCAGAACTATATGCCAGTGTGGACGGGCTCTGAGTCCCATCTCATGTCTTTTTCAAAATGGGTAAAAATATTGATGAGTTTCACCATGTTGAGAAGCAGAAGGATAGACCAAAGACCGGTAATTCAGCATTTTGATCTGACACAGCCAGTTAGTCGCTTAAGGGAAGCTGGCCAGGAGGGCAAGCGAGTAATTCCACCCTTGGTCTTGCATGCTTGAGCAAATGAGATACAGAGGCCTCTCTTCCCTCGGGTGCAGAAGGTGAGATGTAGCCATCCCGGCTGGTCTCCGTTGATGTCTCCTAATGCCTGTGAATTTATCCAGGCTGCTTCTAAAGGCATCTGGACAGGCGAGCCGCCATGGCATCTTGCAGCAATGGGTGATGCAGTTTAATTATGCACGGCGTGCCCTGTTAGGGTTGCTGTCCGTCAGTTTGAGCACAGAACACACATACGTGAAGAAGTGTTTAGCTAGTGGAAGTAACTGTAATGGGCGATGGGATGATCTGCCTGGATTTGTTCGGGCAGCCTTTCTCTCTATTGCATATTTCAGATTGAGTCTGTCATGTTGGGCCTCATTTAAAAAGTAAATAAGTAACCATTTACTGATAGATACATTTGCTTATTTACCATTTAAATAAGGAGCACTGGTTATTGTGTTTCAAAGATGTATAAACTTATTGTGAGTTTCAAATCTCAGTATTAATATACTGTAGTTGGTTTACAGGAGACAGACTGGATTGGTTTGAGATTGCTTAAAGGTGTGTGAGGTCTTTTTCAAATATTTATGCAGGCACCATCAATGTTAATAAGTATGTGATTTAACATGCAGGAAGTGTTACTATATGTGACCAGTGCAAGCAGCGTTCTCCTCAAATGGCCTGTTCTGATTTCTTGATCAAGAGAAAGAAACCTTTTCTATAATTTGTGTTAGTCGGTGTTTTTGAGGATCCTGCATCAGCCTGGCCCTGATCCTTTTGACTTAACCCATCGAGTTCAAGTAAATATACTTAGGATTATTGTCTCATCACTACCTTGTTAGAACTGGCTATTAGCTAGTTTCTCAAGTGTCATGTTGGCAAACGAAAATCTGCTGATAACATATGTTATATACCATCAAGTTGGAACCAACTTATAGCAACCCTAGTAGGGCTTCCAGGCTAAGTAATAACTCTTAACTTTCCTGAGTTTCCCATACCCTCCTTTCCTATCCCCCACCTGGTTAATTCTCACTCTGGGAGGATATTGCATTTTCAAAAGTATTAAACGGTTATCCCACACACTCAGCATTTACAGTAATCTTCATAACGACTACTGTTCAGCTACATTAGAAAGACAATATTTGTTATTCTGGAGTGGAACAGAATTCTCACTGGAAAAAAAAAACCCCAAGCAGCCAATGCAAATGTGATCTTCAGCCTGATCAGGATGCCTTGATCTCTGTCTTGTTTTCCCCTTAAACGACTCCTCCTGTTCTCCTTTACTGCCCTTAAGTCTGGTGCGGCTTCCGAAATGCCTGCAGTGAGTCACTTCCAAAAAGTGGAAGATGAGGGTTCGGTTGCCCCAGTAGAAGGTAAACAGGAGTCTCTGATACGAGACTGCAGCAATTTTGTATTTTTCCCTGCTGCTCCCACACGAGCCTTCCCCTTAATAAACCCAACCGATAGCATGTTATGTAAGCTGGAACGGGTGAGTTGTCAAAGGTAATGCGGAGAGCCCTCTGTCTTCTCAAGAGTGCTGCATTTCCATGCGGACGGCTGAGGAAGGGAAACCACCTCTCTGCTGGCCAGCGTAGAGGCTAAGCAGTGCGGGCGACAGGAAAGCAAAAACAGATTCTCTGTCCCTCTTCTCCTGCTCACTAGCCTGCGCCTTCACCTGCATGGAGTTGCTCAGACATGATTAACATAACGTTTGCTGTTCCAATAAAGTGTGAATACTAGCTAACTGCTGTAATGTAAATGGGAGGCGATTTTAATATCGGGAGCACAAATTATTCTGCTCTTCTTAATGGAGGCCAGACATCAAAGGATTTTGTAGCTCAGCTTCTCATTCCTGTTGTCATCAGATGTGCAGAGACGTGAAAGAGTCTCAAGACACTGTCAGGTGAAACGTCCTGGAATTCTGTGTTAACTGAAGGCACTTCCCTCAAGATAAGAGTCTTCAGATAATAACTGCTTAACCACGGGTTCACAACGTTGGGTCTCCAGGTGTTCTTGGATGAAAACTCCCAGAAGCCTTCACTGCTAGCTGTGCTGGCCAGGATTTTTGGGTGTTGTAGTCCAGGAACATCTGGGGACCCAAGGTTGGGAACGACTGCTCTAAACCTTTGCCGTCTCAACAGGTGTGTTCATTGAGCAGCTCTGCTTCCAGCACCCTTGAGTTATTTCCGTCTTCCTGCTAGTGGCGATGAGCAACGCCATGCACAAGCCGAAGCGAGCTTGATTCAGAAATGGGAGTTTCTGATGACTTTTTCTCTGTTGCAGGTGAAATGGAAAGGAAAGGACCTGTTTGACCTTGTGTGCAGGACATTGGGGCTCCGTGAAACGTGGTTCTTTGGGCTTCAGTACATGATCAAGGACACGATGGCCTGGCTGAAAATGGACAAGAAGGTAAGGATCCAGGTTTCTCTTGAGTAGTGATGAGCCCAGAGAAGAAAGGCTGAGCCAGCGACTCCAGGGACTGAACAGATGGTCCTGTAGCCTTCAGTGATTCATTCTGAGAAGTGGATATGGCCCTGATTGCCACCTGGATAATAACCTGCTGTAACCAGCTCTGAATAGGCTCTCAAGAGCAGGATCTAAATATTGATAAACGCACATCTGGATCAGCAGATTTTTATTTTTCTTTGTTCATTCTGCTGACTGGCAGTTTCTGGGATCTCTCCCAGGGGGAACGGTTTGGTCTGCACGCCAGACAAAAAGATCTAGAAGGAACTTGTGTGTGGCTGTGTCGGCACACAGAGAAGCTACTGATTTGGATTACAACGCCCAGTGGAATTCTGGGAGTTGTAGTCCAGATCAGTAGTGGGCCAGAACAGTTAACGCCTGTGCTACTGGGTCAGTATATAAATCAAATAAATAATGTTTCCGTTTTCTTTCTCATGTATCGCTTGTTCTTGGTTTGACGTTAACATATTGGACTAATTGCGTGAAGTCCTGCTTTCACCTCAGAGATAATGCTGTTCCAGCTTCAATGTAATTAAAAGTAGAATAAATAATGCTGCCTCTCTCGGTGCTCCCCCACTCCGGCTCCTTTCTTTTTTTGTAGGATTTTGTGAGTTCATATTTCCTTACTCTTCGCCATGCTTCCCTAGCTCAGATATTCCTATCTTTCAGCTTGCACACACGTATGTTATGAGTTAATTGGAGTCTTACTCTGTTTAGAATATTCAGTTCACATTAAAGAAGCCATGAAACCACATAATTGCTCCAGAGTTTAAGCTGCTTGACCCAAAGCTAATATGCATATCTATGTTATTCTGTTGTAACTCTTGGAATGAACACAACATCTTAATAATTATAGCAGTAATCTCAGGAATGCGGGGCTAGAAGGGACCCTGTAGATCATCAAGTCCATCCAGTCTCAAGGAGGCACAGAAGGGAATTTGAACTCCCAGCCTCTGACGCCACGGCCAGACATCTCAAGCACTGAACAATAAAAAAATTACTTCTCTTTTCATCGGCAGTACCCAGTGGCAGCCATCTTAAACCCTCTGCTTCTTAGAAAGTATTCATTGCTGTGTTTCCCTCACCATTTCTGATGGCCTCTGAATACAGTGTGAGCACTGAATGTTGTTGTTCGATGCAATTAAAATAACTACTATGAGCAGCAAAAGCTATGCTGTTTGGGGATGAGGGGAGTTATAATCCTACACGCTTGGAAGGCGGCAGGCTGGGGATCACTGAATTAATGCCTGCATTGGAGCAGTAACCTCATTCCGTATCTCAAATGTTTAAACCCGTGTAACCTTCTCTTTAAAAGCAAAGCAAAACATGATGCTTATATACTTCCCCATGGAGCTTAAGGCACTCTCTCTACAATTTAATTATGCAGGCTACACATCCCTCCCCAATCCCGAAACCTGGGTACTTTAACAGGAGTTCCTAATTTCAGAATTAATATACTTCGTTTACAGGAATTATGCTGCATTGATTTTAGATAGCTATTACAGTATGATGTCCCTTAGAGATTTATGGCAGACTTAATAATATATGATCTAAGATGCAGAATGTTTTATTCCACTTGACCAGTGTACGATACAGACACCTCGGATGACCTGCTGTGGTTTCTCGACTAAGGGAAAATGTTCCTTTATTCTCTTATAGTAATTGTGTGGCCTGATCCTGCTTCAGTTTGGTCTGAAAACCTGTTCGTTTGGCCTTATCCTTTCGGCTTAAAAAGGTGTCCTACTGATTTCAAATCGATATCTTTTGGAGTCCCTGCCTCAAAGGCCTTGTGGAAAGTGGGTGTGAGTTAGCCTTGTTTCTCAAACGTAACGGCCCGCAAAGCAAGATGTGCCTATTAAGTACTCAGCCGTAAGCTTATCTCATTTGCAGAGACCCACCCCAGCCTATTCTCACTGACTCGCCCTGACAGCGGGTTCCCTGTTCTTAGCAGGTTTTTAAGACGGCTGCAATTCAGCGGCATTTGAATTCAAGGCATAGCATGCATTCGAGCATTCTCTCGGCGTGCCATTCCCCGAGCTTGGTGTATTTGCATTGACTGATGAGACAGTTGGATGCCTTTTAACAAAATCCATGAAGGCGGCAGTGTGGTGCTGAGCGGAGGCATATGTTTTCCTAGCAACCTGGGGCTGTAGCTGGCGCTGCTGTTTCTGGACCGGGCAGGCTCTCCCTGCATTTGAAGCATCGGGAAGTAAAGAGCAATATATTGAATTAAACACAGACAAGCAAGGCTGTATTGAGGCACCGCCAAGCCACCCAGGGACACCCTTCCTCTCTGCTGAATTTACTTATTATTAGGTGGGAGAAAGCCAGATAATTCTGGTAATTTCCTATCTGGTACAACTTGGAAATAATTATGTCTAAAACCCTAGAGAGCTGATGCCAGTCAGGATTGATACTACCAAGCTTGGTGAACCAATGATCTGACTGAGTTTCTTTATTCCTGTAGGAATAAGGGAATCTTTGTACCAGTTATTAATTATTGATCCTGCTGTGGAAATGCAGGCTGTTCTGCAACTTCACTAGAGCAGCTATCCCCAACTTTTTTTTGGCCGTGGCCATAAACGCAACATGAAAGAGATGTAAGCTGAATCAGGATGGTATAAGTTAGATTAATGAACCGTAGGTGTGTGAAAAATGGTTTCCAGTCTGTGCCCCTCTTCAAAGGTGCTGGGTTGGGGTGGGGGAGAGCAAGGGGCCATATGGTCTCCCATTGAGAATGGCTGCTCTGGAGGCAGGGTGAAATGATATACTGCAGTCAGCACCGCAGGAGGGGGACTCAAGAACCTAGCATCTGTTGCCGAAGGTTGTAGTAAATATTTCTCGATGATAAGAAGACCAACGAGCCAAGTAGGAGGTGGTTTGCAAATCTGGGCTTCCCTTCTGGCGTCTGCATTTTTGGACCCTTGCCAGACAAGACCACAGCCTTGGGCAGTGCAGAAGGAATGATGATGGAGGCAGAGCTGGCGTGATGGATGAGCTCACGGTAAAGCAGTGTGAAGTTGTTGGGGCCATCTTTGGGGTCTTTCACCCCAGTTTTAACCAGGCCTGATCCTGTTTAATGTCCCAAATCAAACCAGGTTGGCCATGTAGATAGATAGATAGATAGATAGATAGATAGATAGATAGATAGATAGATAGATAGATAGATAGATAGATAGATAGATAGATAGATAGATAGATAAATGTTCGTGGAGGCATGGTGGTGTATTTTTCCTCCTTACTTTGTGCTGCTCTTTCCTTTTGGCCAGATCTTGGAATGAGCAGCGTCTAAATCAGAAAAGATGGTGGTGTCTGAATTTTGCAAAATGTTAAACGGGAAATCTAATTCCGCAGGTCCTGGATCATGATGTCCCAAAGGAAGAGCCGGTCACTTTTCACTTCCTAGCCAAGTTTTACCCTGAGAATGCAGAGGAGGAACTTGTTCAGGAGATCACTCAGCATTTGTTCTTCCTTCAGGTACATGTCTGGGGCTTCTCCCGCCTGGCACAGAAATATTTGGAGGCTGGGAGAAGTTTTGACAGCGCTCATTGATCCTTTTACCATTGTATACTCACTTGAGGAGACATCTGTGATACATTGAGGCCTCGAATGACTTTGGAAACTTGTTTTGCCGTAAGCGTTATTGAGCAGTTGAACTGAGATCCTCCAAACTTTTATCCAAGTCTCAGGAATCAATCATAGCACACACACATGAAAATGCACAAGAAGCAGTAAGCAGAAACCAGCAGTGTCCATATTCCTGAAAGCACCTTTTCTGTTGGATAAAGGTTTTTTTTTAAATTTCTGACTTTGTGTTTTTATACAGCCAGATTGCTGATGGGGGCTGGTCAGTGGGATCACACAATGCCCCTTTACAGCAGCTCCACTGGCTGTTGATCTGGCACACACACATGAAAATGCACAAGAAGCAGTAAGCAGAAACCAGCAGTGTCCATATTCCTGAAAGCACCTTTTCTGTTGGATAAAGGTTTTTTTTTAAATTTCTGACTTTGTGTTTTTATACAGCCAGATTGCTGATGGGGGCTGGTCAGTGGGATCACACAATGCCCCTTTACAGCAGCTCCACTGGCTGTTGATCTGTTTCCGGTCACAATTCAAAGTGATGGTTCTAACCTATAAACCCCTAAACGGCCTGAGTCAGAGTTATCTCAAAGACCACGTCTCCCTTTATGAGCCTGCCTGGCTGTTAAGATTATTAGTAGAAGCCTTTTTCTAAGTCCCACCACCCTCAAGGATGCGTCTGATGTGGACACAGGAGACAGGGCCTTCTCTGTGGTTGCTCCCAGACTGCGGAACTCCCTCCCACTGGAGGCCAACCCGGCCCCATCTTTGCTGTCCTTCCACAAGCAGGCAAAGACCTTTCCCTAGCCTGGTGCCCTCCAGATGTTTTGGTCATCAGTTCCCATTCGTTTCTACAAGCATGGGTAACAGTCAAGGATGCAAGAGGTCTGAAATGCCTGGAATACATCAGGTTGTGAAAAGACTGCCCTATTAAGGGTGTTCACTACTGTGTCCTAATAACTGTAATTGAAAAAAGAGGCTTACCGGTGGCTGCTGTTAGAGCAACATTTTTGTCTGTTTGCTGTTCTTAGTGATGCTGTCGTCTTGTCGTTTTGTTCAGGTGAAGAAGCAGATCTTGGATGAGAAGATCTACTGCCCCCCTGAGGCCTCTGTTCTCCTGGCCTCTTACGCTGTACAAGCAAAGGTAAGGACTGGTATCTTATCTAATGGGTGTTCTGCCCGTCATGGTCTTTGTTGGGCTCCATCCTGGTTCATTTCTTTCACTTTCCAAGTGGTACCTTGCATCGTTTCTGATTATTATTTGACGCTTATGAAGCTCTGTAAACTTCTTCAGGGTTGTACTATACACAGATTTGTATCCCAATAGTATGTGCATCTGTATGTAGATAAAACGATAGCTCTGCCTGCAGAGCCAGAGGCTTGGGAGTTCAGTTCTGCTCTGTGCCTTCTGGGAGAAGAGCCAGCCTGGGTGGCCTTAGGCCAGCGGCACCAGAGTCCCAGGGCTCCCCCTAGAGGAAGGGAAGGGGAAACCACTTGTGAGTATTCTCTACCTGGAAAACCCTTGCCGTTCGTGAGAATTGACTTGACGACACAGGACGATAATTATAATATTAGCAAGATACAGATTCCCCCACTAGGCAAACATATGGTGGCAGAAATGAGAGGTGTAGCAGGCGTTCCTGTTGGAATTGGTGGGATGGAAGGCACAGCACAGGTGGATAAAAACCAGGGCAAAAAAAAAAGCATTTTCAAACAGGGAGAGAAGGTGAAGCAAGTGTTTATACATATACCTTTCAGGCAGGAAGCACAGATGGGCCTCTGGGAAGGAGGTAGCCAAGAATCAGCCCGTTGAGGGAGGCCTGTTTGCTTTGGGGGACGAGTCTCTGCTAGACAGCAGATTAAGCTGACCCCAAAGATAGCGTTAAAGGCCTCGGAAAAGGGGAAGAAAAGTTTTTATCTGGCGTTGGAAAGACCCCAGAGTGGATCCTCGGTGAGCGTTGTGGGCAGGGCCTCTGGAGGGCATCCGCTGGGAGCCCCTGGTCTCCTCTATGCCTCTCCCCCAGGACCTACGTAGGTGGCAAAGATGCTCGGGAAGGGGTCTTACAAGACGACTGGATCCATGTGGAGATAGGTGGTCTTTGAGGTGACTCAAGTTCAGCCCATTTACAACCTTTCAAAGTAAAACAAAATGGATTTGGAATGTGGCCCAGGAACACCTTAAGAACCAGTAAAGTTGGGGAGAAGCATCGCAGTCAATGAATTCCTCCGTCCCAGCGATGGGTTTTGCAGCGGGAGTCTTAAATGAATCCCTTTCAAAAGTAGTAATGCATTGCAGATCCCCTTCTGAAGACGGTTAGGGTACACGTGACTGGAGCCTGCTTACCCCCCACCCCACCCTCTTCCAAATAGGGTTGCAGCTGGCATGCCAGCCGAACTGGGATCCGTGGCGTCCCAGAGGCCACCCATGCCAATAATCTCGCAGAGCGAGAACCAAGGAGAGCCACCCAGAACAGAGAGAGAAAAATATTTCTCTGAAGAGATGACTCACGCACCCGTGGTAACAGCAATGGTACTGGGAATAGCAGTATGACATTGCCATTTTCCACATCTTTTGATAATTCTTCTGTTTTCCCCCCGCCCCCCACTCCTTTGAGCTTCCTGTATTGAAGTGCCTTTGGTAGGCGTTGAATTCTGGGTTGCTTATGGCTTCTGTGACATGCAGGTTGTGTAGACTCAGGTTTGTCATGAACAAGAATCCCACGTTGCAGAATAAGAATAGAGTAGAAGCCCTTAGGTTATTAAGTAGTTGTTGTTGTGACTTATATAACGCTCCATAGTTGTAGAGCACTCTCTGGCCAATTTAAAACATAATTATGCAAGGAACACTCCCCACCCCCTTATAACTTGGGTACTCTTTTTACTGATCTAGGCCAGTGGTTCCTAACCTTTGTTACTCGGATGTTTTTGAACTGCAACTCCCAGAAACCCCAGCCAGCAGAGCTGATGGTGAAGGCTTCTGGGAGTTGCAGTCCAAAAACATCTGAGTAACAAAGGTTAAGAACCAGTGATCTAGGCAGACTAGAAAGCTTAGTCAGCCTTCAGCTGGCTACCTGAACCCATTGGGATTGGACCCGGGTTATGAGTAGAGGCTTGACTGCAGTACTGCAGTTTAACCACTGCATTGTGGGTTCACTTCTGCTTTGCAAGCTATTTTAGATTAGTTCCCTGGTTTTTAGGATATATTTTCAACAGTGTCCTTTGTGGATCAGCAGGAAGCTCATCGATGGTCTTGCTTCTGAAAGGTGGTATGACTTGTGTTGTAGATGAGATGTGTGAAACTCTGAGGCTTTATTCCACTCTCCTCTAATGGCTTTGCCTTGCCTTCGGTGGCAGTTATAGGCAGAGTAGTAACGGATTTAATTTTTGCCCTTTCCCACCTCCCGATTATATGACTTTGTGCCTGCCTCTTGTGTCATCTTCATTCAAGTAAACAAGCAGAAAAAGCACAGCTAATGGTAGCCCTGTTTTGTAGCAGGACGAAGTTTGGGATGCAAGTGTTGATAAATGATTATTTATTTAATGATCTGTATTTTCCCCTCCGTTGCTTTTGAGCAGCGACTAATGCATCTTAACTTCTACCTTAAAGTCACAGCGTGTCATTTTATAAACTTGGCTGGCTGGGACAGACGAGCCTTTTAATAAAGAGTTTACAGAGAAGTCTATTTTGCAGCTCTCCCGTGCAGAGTCTTGCTGTTAGCTGCACGGATGAGCATTCATCTGGCACTTCTGCAATTTGTGCGTTATGTTCCCAGGCAGGAGGTATGGAGAACAAACCTGATGGAGGAAAAGTGGTTTTGCCAAGCCAGTTTCACCTGCTTCTTCTACCTGTTGAGCTTAGAGACAGTTTGCTCCCATGTAAATACTGTAGCATATGATCGCCTAAGGGGGTCTTTTCAATTTTTACCTTACAAAGGGACACATGCTTGTTCATTTCATCTGCTGGCCATATGGCTGATGTTATAATATTGTCGCTCATGAAGGCAGAGCCGTTCAATAAATCTCCTTTCCAATCATGAACACGTTCCCTCCCTTTCCCATCTTCTGGGAAGCACCTGAGTTGCGCAAAGCCCAGGACAAGGATTTTTTTCCCCCCGTCTGCTGCTTCCGCCTATAAAAGCCTTAGCACAGAAGAGAGAAGTAGTCTGGAGGCAAGAGACAACCCCAATTAATAGGTTGACAAGCCAAGCCAGAATTAAATGTGAAGACCCTGTGGTCTAATTTGATTTTTGTTTGCCAGAAAGGAGATGTGCAGAGCAGATTTTACTCATCGCTTGCAGGACTTGGAAACTCTTCTCCCGTGTGCTCATCGCACCGCACGTAGCAGCATCAGAGTGCGGTAGAACTTCCTGGTGGAACAGTGAATTGGAATTCATTGCCACCTGAGCGGCAGGCGTCGCGTTCTGGTTTCTTTGCTTTCTGCCCTGTCCTCCAGCAGCCGCCCAAGGACCCCTGTGCTTCTTGGGGAGGCTGGTCCTGAACCCTCCTCCGGCCTGGTTTTTTTATATGAGCTGGAATTCTGTTCAAGATTAGAGAGGTAAAAATTCTGAAAAATTCCATTTTATCCGGGAAAAAAGAAGGAGTTAAATAATTTTTTTCCCAGGTAAAAATGGAAACTTTTTGGAAATTTTACATCTCTAAAGGGCATCAGAGTTCTTCTAATAAGAAAATATAAAATGAAAACAGTTCTAAGCAGTTTTTTTCCCCTGGAAAAAAAATGAAAATTTTACATCTCTATTCGAGATTGAAATGATTTGGAAAGGTATTTAGCAAGCATTGGCTGGTTGAGCTGTTCCTTGGCTGACCTGGTTTTTTTTTCTCTTCTGGAAACAAGAGGTTCCCCTGTTGCTCTAGCTGTGCCAGGGCCACTTTTTTGTATGCAGAAAATAAATCCAAACTCTAAAATCCACTGGCGGGTAATAATTTTTATTAGGACCAACTGCAAATGCAACCTAGTAAGCAAGTTTTCAAGATATATAGAACTCTTCGCCAAGTGAGGTCTTTCGAACCGAACCAGGCCGGACCAAAAACACACAGAAGAAGAGAAGGGAGGTCCAAATACATGACCTGGTGTTGTCAAAATCCTGAAAATGAGGCTCAGTAGCTACCACAGTCCTGCAGGTTCTCATAGGACCAGTGGCAATGGCCACTAGGAAGGGGAGGGGGACCAAATGCAGACTTCTAGCCGTGAGCAAAACGTACAGGTTTGTTTGTGGCTACACGATGCAATTCTGGTATGCGGTTCATTCAGCTGGAGTACCACCGAGAGAACTGAAGGCAGGAAAGGCTTGGTCCACAAAGCCAGGGCTACCCCATGCTGGGTCATCGGCCATGACGTCCTCAATCTAAGAATCAAGACAGGAGCCGTAGACATTCCCAGGGTATTTTAGAGATTCCCGTGAGCTAGTCTAGTGAAGAATTGAACAGGAGGACAGGATAGGAGCATTTTTGTGGGGGTAAAAAGAGGAAGAAGAAACCCCCATGTATGTCATGTCCAGTTTCCTACACAGGTAGACAGACCTATCTGGTTATAAAGAACTTAAGAGGGTAGCAGGGAGTTAGTGGGAGGTGGGACCAAGGGCAGGAATGCCTCATGGGTCATGGAGTTAGCAGAGATGGACTGACTTACCCCTACATTTCAGAGAGGGTGGCCTCTACTATGGTTGTGAGCCGCTGGTGCCCAAGGGGAAGTATGATCTGACAACTCTACCACCCCACCCCTCCCGGTATTGTGTAACCTCTGAACATAGCAGTCAGTTATACCTGGACCACATCAATTCTGTGAGCATTCTCCTGCTTCCAAACTCACATTTGTGCACAATCTGCTGGGCTTAATCGTAAAGTTGATACCCCGTCAGACTCTTAAATGGAGGAAATCAGCACGTTCCTCGTAAGCTGGTCGTGGCAGCCCTTCCTCTAAGACATTTCAAATGCTAGACCTCAGTTCTGGAAGGGACAGAATTTGCAGAAATGTGAATGGCTGGGCTTGCAGGTGTGTGTGTGGGCAGGCGGGCTGAGCACTGCAGGAATGAATGAGGTGGGTTTCGTTCTTAAAACGATGCCTTCCGTTTGACTCTCAGAGTCGGTCATTTTCCTTTAAATGTAAGCGACACAGTGCATCAGAAG